TTTTTTTTTCAAAAAAGAAAAAGAAAAAATCCGACTCGTTTTTGAAAAAATAAAAATTAACTTGACAAAAATAAATAATAAAAGAATATTTTAAAATTATTTTTGACTTTCTAAAAGATATTTAAAAAAAATTCAATTTGAGAAAGTATTTGGGTTTGATAGGTCCATTTTGGCATTGACTTCGATAATTCGAATCGTTTACTTTTTAAGATTTGTTGAATAGAATATTCATGTAAAAAATCAAATTGATTAAATATTGATAATTATATGTTTGAATTAAATTTATATTACAAAAAATGATGACTACTATTGAAATTATATTTGTCGACTATTTTTTTAAAGGGGTAACAATAGGTTTTTTTATGTAATGTGGTAACTAATGTGACATTTTCTATTTAATTTTAAACAGTGGTTAGCTTAAAGAGTAAATTGAAAAAAAAATTAAATCATTAAGAGCCAAAGAGAAAAAAATGACCAAATATAAAAGGGTTAAAGTGTAATTTATCTAATTTTTAGATAAAAAAACTATTCTACAAAATTTACTATGAAAGTAAGTGGTGATTATATTTTTGTACTTAACATTCATGGATTCTTTACTTTAAAGTCACATGTCCACAATTTAAATTGTTAATCACCAATTTATTTAAACATATAAACTATTATTATTTATAACAAAAGTGATCTATAACAGTGATTCTTTTTCACGGTTTTTATTTGTGTGGGTGATTTTCCGATCACACTGCCAACTTAGTATTCAGCTGGAGAGTACTGGCAGAATAGATGACACCTGGCTGACCTGCAACAGAAAGAGAAGATTCCGGCGGTGGTTCGTCCACTCGGGGACACTCCGACGATCAAGTCAGTATATCTCTCAAAGATATTCAATTGCTAAACTCACTGTTTTGAGTATAAATTGCGTACCTTAGACCCATCGGGGATGCCTTTCTTTTATAGCTAACTTAATCCTAGTCCCCATAGAAGCCTAATTTCAATGGACTTCTGCTTAGTGCTTATCTTGGACTCTCCAAGAGATAAAGATAAACTCCCTAAGAGTATTATCCTTATCCATGCTGAAGTCCTTCCTCATTCTAGAACTCTTTGTGCTTTATCCGTTTATCTCGGATTCCGATATCTTCTGAGATAACCTTGGCCTTGCCGAGATAACCTCGGCGTCATAACCAGGACACGTGGCACCTCGGTTGACACGTCGGTGTCACCTTGGCCACATGCTGGTACTCAGAAAATATATCCTCATCACTGCCCCCTAGGTTCTATTACCTCGGGCATTCTGAGGTGATGGGACCTATATCGGTACTTCCTACCAGTACATCGGCTTAGAGATTCCCAGCCGACATGTCTCTTTAAAGATCAAAAATTTCAAGAGCTCCCTTATGCGTATGATTTGTCAAGCATAATACATCAACCGTCTTAACCACGTGTTTTCCCCTTATTGGATTGTACTCCATACGCGCTTGTAAGTCATCTCGCGCCTGCGTGCGCCGTCTGACATATACATTATTTTAGGCGCATTAATTGCTTTCTTTTTGTCGCTGTTTCAAGTTTTAACAAAACTTTTTCTCCTTCCGTCTCTTCACTTTACATCGTTTCTGAAGCTCTCTCTCTCTCTAGCTTTTGCCTTCCAAATCTTCCATTGTTCAAGCTTCCAAAGCCCTACAACTTGCTCCGTCCACCTTCTCCGGCGAGGTTCTTACTAATCTTTTCCGCAGCTGCCGTTCGTCTGACCTCGG